GCAGAGCTGCATGATTGATGACAGCATGCAGAGTGACAGTGCTGCAGGCCCAGCTGAGCTCATCACTTCTGAGGATGTGGCAGAGAGCTGCATGTTGCACTTGGAGACAGTAAATGTCTCATCTGATCCCATCCTGGAACATTTGACTGGAAATGCCTGCATGGCACAGCCGGAGAGCATGGAAATGCTGTCCTGCAAGGAACCTCCTGCTGCCTATGAGATGCTGGGCTCCCAGGATGACCTTGGCTTGGAGGACAATGACAGTGCACTTGAAGACATCCCAGATTATAAGAAAGAAGGGGCAGATGTATGCAAGGATGAGATGTTGAGGCTGGAGGACAGTGCAGCAGCAGGTGCCAGCCAGGAAAATGACACTGTAGGAGAGGCCACAGGCCACCTTGAGAAGTCATGTTCAGACCACAGCAAGCTGGATGCAGGCCCAGAGATGGGAGAGACCAGCCAAGGTGAACCACCAGAGGCCTGGCTCGGTGTGCTGAAGACTGCTGAGCAGAGCCACCCATCTGTCCCAGAGGATGCGGCCACCTCCCACGATGACACCAGAAACAGTTCAGAGTCAGTGCTGAAGGCACTGCGGAAGCAGGACAAGGAGCAGGCAGAGACACTGGTGTTGGAGGGAAGGGTCCAGATGCTGGTGGTGCAGTCAGAAAGTCAGATCTTTAAGTGTGAAAAATGCTCTTACATCACACGGAAGGAGAAGTCCATGTCACTGCACTCTAAAGCCAGCTGCCAGAGTCACCGCACCCTACTTGTGTGCCGTGAGTGTGGTGCCAGCTTTAAGCAGCAAAGGGGACTCAACACCCACCTCCTCAAAAAATGCCCAGTCCTCCTGAAGAAGAACAAGGTCCTCAAACCAGCTGTTGCAGAGGCAGCTGGGTCGCACTGTCCTACTGAGCAGCTGGGTGATAATACTGCAGAAACAGCAGAAAGCGACAAGGGAGGCATGGAGGAGCCTGGACATCCTGAGTCGCCCTGGGAAGCTGAAATGATGCCTGATAAAATGCAGGAGTCAGATGGTCCCTTTGCTGGGGAACATGTGTCAGGCTGTCCTTCCCCTGAGAAGTCTCTCTCTGGTGACAGTGCAGAGGTGGCAGAAGAGTCCTCACAGCAAGGGGATGGAGCTGAGACGAGCAGAACGGAGTGTCCTTTGCAGGTTGGGAAACCCTCTGAGAAATATCGGCTGGAGGGTGGGAAGCTGCACTGCAATGCCTGCTCCTTCGTGTGCTCCCGGGTCTCCACCATCACCTCCCACGTGGAGGACGGCTGCCGGAGCCTGGAGCAGTTCTGGTGCTCACTGTGCCCTGAAGCCTTTCGCTCTCAGCGGGCCCTGAAGAACCACTGTGCTGAGAAACACCTCCCATATCCCAAGGACAGACCCCACAGCACCCAGCTCTTGGGGGGGCACACAGCCAGCACTGAGACGGAGCAGCCCGGTGACCCTGTGCTAGATGCAGCCCCCCCAAAAGCAGCACTGCCCAAACAGAGGCGTTTCACCTGTCCCACTTGCCCCTTCACCTGCCACCAGGAGCGGGCCATGAAGACGCACAAGAAGAGGGGCTGTGTGACACTGGGGGAGTTCCGCTGTGCCTCCTGCCCCTTCACCTCCAAAGTGGCCAAAGCCCTGCGGCTGCACCGCAAGCTGCACCGCAAGCACTACAGCAAGCGGCCTCAGCTGCAGTGCCGCCAGTGTGAGTTCACCTGCAAGCAGGCCCGCTGCCTGCGGCAGCACGTGCGCATCAAACACGAGGGGGTGAAGCCTCACAAGTGCCTCTACTGCGAGTTCAGCACCACGCGGCGGTACCGCCTGGAGGCCCACCAGTCCCTGCACACCGGCGTGGGCCGCATCGCCTGCAGCATCTGCAGCCAGACCTTCGGCACCAACTCCAAGCTGCGCATCCATCGCCTGCGGGTGCATGAGAAGACACCCACCCACTTCTGCCCGCTGTGTGACTACAGCAGTTACCTGCAGAACGACATCACCCGCCACGTCAACAGCTGCCACCGCGGCGAGCTCAACTTCGGCTGCTCCCGCTGCGAGGCACGGTTCAGCTCCGAGACGGCCCTCAAGCAGCACATCCTGCGGCGGCACGAGGAGAAGGTGTCCTACGGCTGCCCGCAGTGCGGCTTCGTGTGCCACAGCGAGGCCACGCTCAAGTGCCACGTGCAAAAGCAGCACCCGCACCTGGAGTGTGGCACGTGCAAGGAGAGCTTTCCCAGCCGCGATGCTCTGGAGGAGCACAAGAAGCAGCATTTCAGCCACCGCTGTGAGCTGTGCAGTTTCGCTGCTAAGGAGCGGCAGCAACTGGTGCGGCATTATGTGGAGAGCCACGAGCCGGCCGCCCCCCAGGACAAACCCCTGCAGTGCCCCTTCTGCGACTTCGCCTGCCGCCATCAGCTCGTCTTCGACCAGCACATGAAGGGCCACGGGGGGACGCGCATCTACAAGTGCTCCGACTGTGAGTACACCACCAAGAACAGGCAGAAGATCACCTGGCACATCCGCATCCACACAGGTGAGAAGCCGTACAAGTGCCACCTCTGCAAGTACACCTGTGCTGACCCCTCACGTCTCAAGGTGAGCATCCTGCTTGGGGATGGCTTGGGAGATACACTGGGATTTGGGAATGAAGAAACTCACAAGGGGAAGTATTGCCCTCTCTGTTCTTTCCTGAGTTGTATATGGGAATAGGCAAGCAGGTGGTGCTGATGCAAGGCAATGTGATACTGGGGGACAGTGACTGCACGTTCTTTCTGCTCCAATTTGTAGGTGATTATCATCCTCTCACACTAAAGGGCCTTTCCTAGAACAAGAGTCAGGCATGGGGTAATGGAAGGAAAATGGCCTGTCTTTACTAAAAGAGGTATTGACTTTTTTAATAGCTGAGCTGGAGCCCTTTGGGGTCACCTGGGCGAGGCTGCTGTGATGCACTCTGTTCAGGGCTAGCTCTGCTGGTCTGTTTTCAGCTTGAGCTGTGTCTCCTAAGTGCCAAACTATGAAGAAAATCCTGTGTCCTGAGACAGAGTGCACTCAGCAGCAGCAGGGTCTGATCCTGACCCTTCTGTGGATCACCCCATGGTCAGGCTACCATACAGCCCTCCTGGCCGCTTGCAATTGCTGAGATGTCAGACTTGCTCCTGAGCCCCACGCATCACAGGGCCCTGCATGCCCCTCTGGCAGGCGGCATAGCCTTGTCCTGACTGTGCCCCATATTTCTCTGTTCAGTACCACATGCGGATCCACAAGGAGGAGCGCAAATACCTCTGCCCAGACTGTGGCTACAAGTGCAAGTGGGTGAATCAGCTCAAGTACCACATGACGAAGCACACAGGTGAGTGTGGCCATGGGGCACCTCCAGCACTGCTGGCAGGGGAGGGCCATTGGGTTGCATAAACCCAACTCCACGCTTCCCATGTGAGACACGGTAGACACTGTTCAGTATGTCCTGGCATGCTGATGGATTGGGGATGGCTTGGGGCTGCACCCCAGTTCTGGGAAGATGATGAGAAGAAAAGTGGGGTGACACAGACAGAAATGAGGGAGCTGTAGGGGGCCTGCAGGGGAGTAGGCACTAGCGCCAAGGATAGGGTGTAGGGAGGGTCCTTGGATCATTATGGGGATGTTGAGACCCCATGGGAAGGGCTGTGAGAGACAGACACCATCCCCTTGACCCCAGCACTATCCCCATTGCCGCAGGGCTGAAGCCGTACCGCTGTGACGAGTGTGAGTACTGCACCAACCGGGCGGATGCACTGCGGGTGCACAAAGAGACGCGACACCGGGACGCGCGTTCCTTCATCTGTGAGCAGTGTGGAAAGGCCTTCAAGACCCGCTTCCTCCTCAAGACCCATCTGAAGAAACACAGCGAGGAGAAGCCGTACGTCTGCAATGCCTGCGGGCGGGCTTTCCGCTGGGCGGCCGGCCTGCGGCACCATTACCTCACCCACACCAACGAGCATCCCTTCTTCTGCCGCTACTGCCCCTACAAGGCCAAGCAGAAGTTCCAGGTCATCAAACACATCCAGCGGCACCACCCTGAGTGCGGGGCTGGCGACCCCAGCCAGGGGGTGGGCAAAGACCCCAGCACACCCACCGTCTACCTCCATGCTGTGCAGAGGGAGAGCCCAGCTACGGGGCCACCAATGCTGCAGCAGGAGGGAGAGTGCCTCACAGAGAAGGACAGCATCTCCCAGTGAGTCCTGGCAGCTGCAGAGATGTATGTGTGTGTATAGGCATATATGTATATGGGATGTAAGATATGTGGCTGTATAAAAGGAATCTCTCGGCTCCTTTTGATCCTGTTTCTTTGGGGTTCTCCTAGCTGCACTGAGGACCAGGGTGCTGGGAACTGTGGGAACGCCAGCTGGAAGCCCTCCTTGTGTGTGTGGCAGCATGGAAGCAGGTTCATAAAGCAAAGGGCATTGTCTGCAGGGAGAAATCACAAACCCCACTCCCTATACCAAACACCACTGTACCCAGACTGCTTGCTGCCTCTCACTGAACAATTTATTAGATTGCTTACATAGAAATGACACAGCAAGGGTAAGTAACATGGCACTGGGCAGGAGCACCACTGTGGCTGTGTAGGCCAGGGGCTCTGACTGGCTCTGTGGGTCAGGGGGCAGTAAGTTCTGGCTCCTCTCCCAGCTCTGCCTGAAGCTTGCTCTGCTCCAGCCTTGCTCCCTTGGCTTTGGGGACCAGCCCCATGCTCCAGCTCTCTTCCTCTTTGTGGCCACGTCCAGCCGTACATGGAGGGACACACACCAGCATACCCCATACAAGTGCCTGGGAAGGGAGGGCAGTAGGCAGCATCCCAAACCTGGCATGGAGACATCACTGCCTTTTCTCAACCCCCAGAGGCCACTGCAAAGGGGACACAGCAGCAACAATAACACAGAGACTACACAAACAGATTTGACTACAGGGTGGCATGGTCGGCTCTGTGGCCACAACTGCACGGGGCCAAAACCAGGTCAGCCCTATGGCTTCTATCCAGGTCCCGCTGGCACTGTGGGTTCAGTCTTGCTCAGGGCCAGGCGGCTCAGTGATGCGGATGTGGACAAAGAGCGAAGAGGGCGGGATGCTGGTGCCATCCTTGGAGAGGAGATGGATGTGGCGGTATCCTGCAGAGGGGACAGCAAGGCCGTGGCTGATCACCCCACTCCCTAGCACCTAACCGAACCCCTCAGCATCTCCCTGCGTAACTGCAGCGATCACTCACCAGGTTTGATATTGGCAAAGGCCAGGGTGAACTGTCCCACAAAATCGTTCCTGGAGGTCTTGTCATAATCCTCCACCACAAAGCGGACAAGGGCCAGCTGGGGCACGTGAAGCTGGAACTGAAGGGTCTCGTCCCAGTGGGGGTTAAACCCTGGTAAGGGAGAGCAGGCACTTGTGGGTGACAGGGCAGGACAGGCACAGCAGGTCCCTGTAACGCAGGCTCACCATTGTTCTCAATGTACTTGGTCTCCTGGTGTGCCTGGTCTGCAGGCACCCCATGGATCTCCACGCGTACCAGGGGGTCAATGATGGCTCCATCCTTCGTGTTGGCCACTTTGGGCAGCTGCTGTCCGCTAATCACCTGTGCAGAAGGAACATGCAGGATGGCTCTCTGCCCAGCTGGGACAGGCAGAGCCCCAGCACACTGACGCCGCTCCCCAGCATCCCTCCTCAGCCCATACCTGGATTGTCAAGGTGACGGGGCCAGTGCCCTGCCAGGTGCTGGGATCATTGGGATTGAAGAGGGTCCCTTCATCTCTCATGAAGGGTGGTTTAAGCACGTAGCCACAGTGGCCATTCTGGCTGAACAGCCCATCACACAGGTCCATCTCCATGCCAGCTGTTTGGAAGTTCAGGGCCACTGGGGGAAGGTGGCCAGGAATTGGTTCAGCATGGCACAGGGCAACTTGGAGACCCCACGCCTTGCTTTGTAGGCAAGAACCATCCTGTCCCCATAGCCAGAGATGCAAGGACACACAGGGGACAAGGCACTGATGTCAGGTGTCCCTGAGCCAGGGCAAGAGATACAGCCAGAGCTGGCACCAGTTGGCACCAATGCCACTGATGGTGCTACTTCACGTGGGACCCAGGGCACCTCCCCAGCCCAGAGCCCTGATTTACACATCCCATACCAATCTGACATCCTGCGTTCCACATCTCCTGGGGGCTGTAATTGGAGGAGTCTGTCCGCATCCCGCTGGGGTAGATGCGTGTCAGCTGCCAGGTGTTGTGCCGGACAAACTCATTCCCTAGGGATGGAGCATGTGGTCATCCTTTGGTCTGCCCAGCCACGTGCATTGCCTGGCCAACCATCTATCCCTCCACTGGCCATCCCTCAACCCATTCCTCCACCCTTCTCTTCATCCATCCCTCCCTCCGCCCACCTATTCTCCCCCCTCTCCCCTCCAAGTAGCGCAGGTCTCCTGCCTCACTATCTAACCCAACAAAACCCAACTTCCCTGCCAGCCCCAAGTACCCCACTTATGGCCCACTTTCTCCAAACCAGAAGGAAGCCCCATGTTTGAGTGCTTTTGCCCTACACCCAGAACACACCCGCCTTCCGCCATAGTCCACTCTCCACACACTGCTGCCCCTTCCACCTCACCTGCATCCCGGATGAGCTTCCTGGCCTTCGCCTCAGAGAGGGAGGAGATTTCAGAAGGCCGGGAGTGGTTGCGGGCCTCCTGGAAACCCCGGAAGGACACATTCTTGCAGTAGACAACGCAGTCAGACAACGCCTGTGCCAGGCTCTCCCTGTCCTTCTGTAAGGCAGAGCTGTGTCAGCACCACCAGCTCCCCAGGATGGAGCAAGTGGGGAACCCCTCAGGGTGCAGAGAGTCCCCATCCCAGGTCACCCACCTTCATCCTCCGCTTCTCCTCCTCTGCCTCTGCCCCATTGTCGTCATCAGACACATCGGGTGCCTCATCCCCTGGGCCATCCAGCGTATCCTCCAGCCGTCCGATCTTCTTCCCCTTCAGCAGGATCTTGTGTTTCAGCTCCTGTGGGGTCAGGGATAGAGAGGTGTGGACCCTGGGATGCTGAGCTCCCCTCTCCTCCTTATGACACTGCGCTGTCCCTGCTGCTCAGGGAAGATGGTGGAAGACAGCAGAGCCACCTCCTCACCCTGCTCCGCCCCTTACCTCTGGGGATGGGAGCTGGGTGGGGACGCGCCCGTCGGTGGTGGCGGTGAGGAGCTGCTCCCCCAGAATGTCCTTCAGCTGCTGGGCCAGCACCTCCTGCTGCTCCATGCTGCAGTGGTTCTCCAGGGACAGGATCACTGGGAAGTCGGAAGCCTGGGGAGCAATGGGTGCTTCTGTCCCCCCTGGCACTGAGGTGAGCAGAGGTGTGAGGGGACAGGGCAACAGCAGCGACCTCTGTGGGGCTGCGAGGGACAGCACAGCTCAGCTGCATGGCTAGAGCTCAGCTTTGGTGAGGTGGGCACAGCTGCCAGCTCTCAGATGCATGCTCAGTACCAGAAAGGAGCTCACCATGCCCTTGGATCCCCCTGAGACTTTCACTCACCCCCCTCCACCACCTCAGTGCCCCTAGGACCCTCCTTCACTCCCTCTCACCCCTGCACTCCATCAGATCAGCTCTCAGATCCTGTATAGCACAGCACAGGGCTGCAGATCAGTGCTGTCCCCAGGGTGTGGACACAGCCATCATCCTCACCACCACTGCCCCATCACTGCCCCTCACCCCAACTGCACTGAGGGCCACCCAGTGCCCTACCTGGAAGGCGTACTTCCCCAGGGTGCTCACCACCTCCCTGAAGGGGATCTTGGAGGTGAAGGTGTGGCCGTGGTACACTATGGGCTCCCCATTCGGCCCGTCCCAGCAATCCACCTCCAGGCAGCGGCAGCCCCGTTTCAGAGCCCTATGGGTGGGCAGTCATCCCAGTACCTCAGCCAGGGCACCAGCCCCCAGCCCTCCCTCTGGCTGTGGTATCACCCCTGCAGCATCAGGGGATATGTGCCAGGGTGAGGATACACATCTAGGGATGGACGGAGGGAGGGAAGAATGGATGGATTCAGGAAAGGAAAAATTGGGCTTAGCATCTCCAAAAGGGACCCTCCTCCTGGGCACAGCCATGCCACTGGTGGTGCTGAGGGCAAGAGGGAGGGAGCAGCCCATTACCTGATGTAGCCTTCAATGCTGCTCTGACCCCGGATCTGGTCCTCTATCAGGTAGGTGTTGTGAGAGGAGGAGATGAAGTAGTGGCAGAGAGGTTGGGTCATGTCCTGCCACAGAGCCCGGTGCTGAGAATTGAAGATGGAGCCCTCCGGGGAGCAGAGGTACATGAGGAACCCATCAGCACTCAGCGCGTGGCGAGCCCTGGCTGTGAGCAGACCATGAGGCTCAACCAAAGTCAGGGAGGAGGAGCACAGGGTAGGAGCAAATGAGACTGCTAGTAGCTCCTGGCATCCAGGGTTAGGCCGGAGCATTAGGAACAATGGAGGTGGCCCTGGGGATGTGGGCCCCAAAGCCAAAGCTTGCACACCATGGCTGGCCAAACTCTTTCAGAAGAACGGACCAAACAAAGGGAGAACCGCACTCAGATCAGCAGTGAGCCCTTTGCCTATGCCCAGCCCTCTCTCCAGTGCAGAGCACAGCTATTTTCCAGGCTCTCACCTGTCTCTGAGGGCTCATATTTGTCAATGAGCTCCATAGCGAGCTCCTCCGTGCCCTCCTCCTCCAGCTGCTCCTGCCGCAGGAAATCCACCAGCTCCAGAAGCGTCAGCTTCTTCCCGTCCTCAGAGAACTCCTGGAAGAGGCTCTGCACCTCTTTGCGCTCTGTGAGGGCTTTGTAGAAGAGCACAAACTCTTCCCCTTCCAGTGTCCCTGACTCTGACTTGTCGGCAGCCTGCAAGGAAGCTCACTCAGCATCAACAGTGTAGGGTGCCCAGCCCACAATGGGTCACCACTGCCAGTGGAAGGCACAAGGAAGGGAGGAAGGAAGGGAAGAAATGTGCAGCCAGCTCCAGCCCATCCTGCCCTCAGGTGTGGTGCTTACCTGGAAGAGTCGCAGGGCATGGTCCTCATTCATGTCTACATTCATCATCTTCAGGAGACGCTGCACCTCCTTGAAGTTCATGCGCCCGTCCTTGTTCTTGTCAGCTTTCTGGAACCAGTCACGAATCCATGTGCAAGAAACCAGGACAGATGTTAAGGGAAAGGGCCTTGGATAAGAGAGCTGGAGTGGGGGAGCATCAGATCTTTTACTTTTGGTGTAGGCTCCCCTCCCCTGATGCAGATGGTGATACACATAAAATTACATGCTAGGACAAGGCTGGAGATGCAGGGCTTGGGGGAGCAGGGAGTGGGGCAGGACAGAATGTGAAGGGCAGTGCAGCGCCCATTGGAAGGATATTGGTCTATTCTCTCCCTCTGGTCCATGCTGGTGGCCACTTCAATGAGCTGGCGCAGGCCCTGGACCCAGCACTGCGCCTCTTCCTCTGTGCCAGCGATGAGGTCCAGATTGCCCCGACGCCCGTAGAAAACAATGGTGAAGCAGCGCTCGGGGGGGAACTCCTCAGCCAGGCTCTGCAACACCTCTGACTGGTGCCCTTCCCGCACTGTCTCCACATCGCTGATGGAGACTGGGGCAGAGGGAGAGGAGGTCTGTCTGTGGGGGACAAGGACCGCAGGGCAGGGGGCACTGCCCACAGGCATCTGTCCTTCCAACCATCTCTTCTGCTCAGCCATCCAACTGTCCACACACCCACTCATGGACCTATTCATCCATCCATCCATCCATCCATCCATCCATCCATCCATCCATCCATCCATCCATCCATCCACCCACCTACCCACCTACCAGTGGAGCTACTCATCTATCTATCTATCCATCCATCCACCCATCCATCCATGGAGCTATTAATCCATCCTTCCATTCATTCCTCCACCCATCCCCGTGCTCACCCACTGAACTACCCATCCACCTACTCATCCAGAGAGACGTGGATGAGAAGAGTCTGACACAAACAGAGCCTCTCTTGAATCTCAGTAATCTCTGCAAGCACAGTTTCAAGGATCTTCATACTTTAACCCTGCTGTTCATTCTGAATCCTACTAACGACCTGCACGGACAACACACCACAGCTCGTACTCACAAGCAGACTCAATTTTGCCCGTCCTCTTGGACTGGTACCAGATGGTCATGCAGTCATCCTGCAGCTTGAAGTACCTCTGCTTCTTCCAGCTCTTGGATTTGACTTTACGCATCAGTGTCCCTTGCTGCATCTTCTCCAGTGTTTCTGTGAGCTGGATGCCTGGGGGCAGAGTGGGCAGCATGGCCAGGGGGACCTCACTCCCTCCAGCCTCTGGGACCCAGGATGGAGGAGGAACGGACTCCACCCAGCGCCCTGCCGCACGCACCCCTCTGCTGGGACACTCACGGGCGTTGCACAGCAGCGATGCCATGGCTCTGCCTCCTCCGTGTTGGCACTGCTGGGGAAGGAAGAGAGTGCTGGGGAGCAGGCCTACCCACTGCTGAGGGGTCTGTTCCCAGCACCTGCGGGTGATGTATGTGTGTGCCCTAGTGTGAGCACACCTGCCTGTGCCTCCTGCTGGCTCACCCTCTTGTTAAGTGTCAAGTTCGTCCCGTTGTTCTTATGAAATATTAATCGTGTTGCCGGGAAGCCAGAGCTTGAAAGGTGTGGGGGGAAAATGGAAAAACTTGTGAGAGCAGCCTCAGAGCTGGGAGGGGATCTGAGCTCTCCCTCACCCTGGAAGCTGGCAAAACACGGAGCCCGGGAGAGCCCTAGAGCTGGGGGACAGCCTTGCACCATATTTGGAGGTAGTAGTGAGGAGGCTGGGTCAGTGACCCATGGTACCCCAGCACTGTGGGGCCCTGGGGATGAGAGCAGAACATCAGCACTGCTGGAGCGAGCATGGACATGAGGGGCTATAAATGCAACCCGACTGACAATAAGTCCTTGATGAGGCTGTTAAGACTTTAATTAGACCAGAGATAAATTGCTGGATGTGCTCATCATCCGGATGCTTGAGCAGCCCTCAAGGACCAGATAGCGCAGCTGGCGGGCAGGGATGTGGGTGCAGGGGAAGCCCTGTCACAGGCTGGGGTCCCACTCAGGGCGAGGGGCACAGGGTCTGGCTGTACCCCAGGCCCCTGACTCAGCACAGCACCAGCACTGTGGGGCTGGGAATAGCGGGTGCCGTCAGCGTGCAGGCAGCTGCCAAGCCCAGCTGCCAGACCTGTGTGAGCACAGGGTCTGGATGGAGCCAGGCATGTTTCTGGGAAGCCGGGGTGAAGGGGAGGTGTCAAGGCTGAGGAGACACCGGGACAGGAACCGGCTTGGTGCCACCAACAGGGCTGAGCTCAGCGCTCGGTCACACAGGTAATGCGGGCAGTGTGCAGGGGGCTGCTTGCTGGCTGCTGGGCCAGCAGCAGAGTTGGGGTTTTGGACTAAATGAATAAATATCCCACAGTGTCAGCCCCTACTTTGTGCCAGAGAGATGCGCAGGGAGGCACGGCCCAAAGGTGTGCAGCCCATCTGCAACCAGGGCAGCAGGGGCTGCCTCACACACACCGCAGCAAACCTCTCCCACCGCAGATGAGACCCTGTGATTGCAGAGCAGGACCGCGGCTCTCCATCCTCCCCAGCACACCCGTTGCCCTCGAGGACCCCTTGCCGTGCAGAGCTCGGCTTTGACTCTTGCTCCTCTGTCGAGGAGAGAGGGAAAGGAGCCAGGGGCTGGAGCCAGAGCTCTCCGACTGGAAATCCGACCCGAGAGCTTCCCGCAGAGCTACTGCCTCCTGCCAGGGCCGCTTCTCCCCTCCCGGCCAGCGGCGTGGGGCGGCGGGCGGCCGCGCTCCAGCGTCCGGAGGTGTCAGTCCCCGCGCATGGCGGGGGGACAGCGGTATGAGCACCCCAGCTGTCATCCAGAAGAATTAAATGCCACCCAAGGGACGGGGACAGCACCGCACCAGGGGTGCAGGGCTCAGGACTTGGGGTTACACCTAATCCCCAGCAGAAGAACAAGCCGGCACTCGTCCCCCCAGCCCCGCAGCTCACCCGCCCCGCAGCCCCTATTGCCCCCCGTTCCGAGGACGGCCCAGCCCCGTACCAGCTCTCCGGTGCCGCTCCGTGCCGCGCCGTACCGCCGGTGCTCCTCCGACTGCGGCCGCACGGGGCCGGGGCTGCCCGGGCTGCCCGCCCCTTGGCAGCGGCGGAGCGCCGAACCCGCCCCCACGGCCCCCGCACGCCCCGCGCCCCGCACGGCCCCGGCCCCTCAGCCGCGCTCCCTCAAGGTCGGCCCGGATTAAGGTCACGCCGCCGCGTTCGCCGCTCCGGGAGGCGGGGAGGCTGCAGGGCCCTGGACGGGGGTCCGGCTGCAGGCTAGCCCGTCCGTCCCCAGCCCCGGACTGAGTCGGGGGGCACAGGGAGACCCAGCGCATCCCGACCCCCACCCTTAGGCACCCCAAGCCCTTGGATTGGCCCCAGAGTGGCAGCAAAACGGGCAGGGCACGGAAACCTGTAGTCCCAGCACAACCCTCTCCCTTGCACGGCGGGCAGATTTTAGTGCAAGGGCTGCAACGCTGGGAGCAAACCTCGTGGCGATGCCCGCCTGCATGGGAAGAATGGAGACGGGTGGCAACACAGCATAAAGCTGCCATTTCTGGGTGCAGCAGGGCCAGCAGGGACCTGCTGCACCCTCAGCCTGGCCTGGGCCACCAGCCTTACGCATCTCCTTCCCTGCCCGGCCCAGCAGCAGAGGCTCTAACACCACAATAAGGGTGACAGTGTGTGCAAGGGAGCGGCTGCAAACACACTCTGTAAAGGGGGACCCAGCAGCAGCCCTTGCCCCACACCCTGGCTTCAGCATCCCAGCCACGTTACCTTCTTGAAGAGATTGTGAGACTTCCAGCAGCTTGGTGACAGCCAGCTGCCCCCAGAGAAGGCAACGAGCACCCAGAGAAGGGCAGTGAAGAGCTGGCACAGCCCTCCTTTCTCTCACCCACAACAACCTCCATGCCCCGCTGCCCTCCCAAGAGACCAGGCCAGGAGCAATCTGTGCTGACTGGGGTTTTATTATTTATTAACCCGAACTTACTTACAAAAACAGAAGCGTTTTCACACTCTGTCAAGGTCAGGGTTAGGAGAAGGGGAAAAAAAGGCGTCAACGGCTATAAAATGGGACCCAAGGGCAAGGAAGAGGCCAGGCTCTGCCCTCGTTATGCAAAGGCTGAAATGGGAAGAGGGAGGGGAAACCAGATGGGATTTAAGACACTGTTGGCACAACACTGCAGATTATCAGCAAAATAGGCTGCCAGAGGGGGATGAGCGGCTGCCCAGGCTTGCCTGCAGCCAAGCGCCAGCAAAGCTGGCTGCCGCAGCACAGCCCCAGAGCTTCATAGCTGCCTCCCAGAGCCCGCCCTGCCAGGGCCACACCACCCCTCCACGCAGGGAAGGCAGGTAAGTGACTGCCAGTCCAGACAGTTTAATTGCAGGGGGGTTGAGACAGACGCCAAGGCAGGTTTGAAAGCTGAAATGGATGCACTCGGATGGTAAAGCTGAGCTGGGAGGCATGTGATCAGGACTGAGGTGCCTGGCAGGCAGTGGGGGAGAGGGGAGCCGGTGTACCTGGAGCCTGCAGGATGCAGCTCCCTGCTGTCCTGCAGTAGGGGACTGGCAGTGGTGGCTTGCTGATCACTGGCAAGCCAGGCGGCAGCTCTGCTGGGCAAGAGCTCTGCTAAATCAGTGGCCAGCATGCAGCAACCCTCAGCTGCTGGCTAGCACTGCGTCAATAGCTGCAGGAGCAGTGCACTATTTACAGCACAGAAACCACAGGCTCGCTGTCTTCTCCTACCCCCAGAACCCTGAGAACCAAGCTGATGACACACAGGTTCATTGCAAGTAATCTACCCCTCCTCATGGGGCAAGCACTACAGCGCCCAGCTCCAGCTGCTGCCTTTGTGCCAAAGGAAAGGAAAAGAGAAGCCTGCTGTGCTAGCCGGATGGATGAACAGCAAGGATGTGCCTGCAAGGAAGAAAGCTGTCCCCAGGCTACCTGCAGCTGAGCAGCAGTCTGTACAGGGAATAAAACAACTAGACCAGCTTTTACTCAGCTCACTCATCTAAGCAGATGGTAAACAAGAAGTGACAAGGAACTGGAGGGTTGTGGCACACACCCATTGTCACACACTATTTGCATGAAGTCTGAGCTAGCTGGACGAGTGGATGTCTGTACAATCCTCTGCCTGTTGATGCAGGGATAGACGCCAGCCAAGCCTCCTGGAGAGATGGGGATCTTTACAGATTGTTTTTATTGATTCTTTTTAAGCTGTGATATCAGTATCTGCTGGTGTTGTGATCCCCAGAGGCATGCTGCATTGCTACACAGCAGCCTTTGGCTGGGTGGAATGGTCCGACAAGCTGGCAGACTGAAAGTCAGCTGGCATGCCCAGTTTGTTACAGAAGAGGTCATCTGTTCCTAGTTCTTTGTAAACCTGAGCTGTTTCTTCCCCGATCTCCCACCCCCCCCAGCAGTCATTGCGGAGGAAGGGGGATGCCCCGTGGGTCAGTGACCTGACCCTCCTGCAGGTTCTTGACGAGCTGAGCCAACCAGCGCTTTGTGGTGGTGTCATCCTTGAGGACCTGGGCAAAGGTGGTGTCCTTCAGTTGGTCAGGAAGGCACTGTCTGAGAGCTTCACGTGCCCTACATCAAGAGACAAGAAACAGGGCCCAACAAATAAACTCACAGGGGCAAGGGGGGAGCAAATCCCACTGGGAACACAATGCCAGGCCAGCCAAGGAAATCACTGAGCACATGGTGCTCTGCTGACCAGCATGGCTCCCATCCCTCAAGATCTCACCGAGCAAACCCCTGTGCCTGTCCTAATGCCCATCAGCTAATAGCAGCACAAAGCCAGAAGAGGCAGACAACAAATACTCACTCAGCAGCTTTGGGTAGAGCTGCTGCAGCTGAGGAAATTTGAAATTCAGCATTCATGCTGAATTTCATCGATTTACTGCTAACAGCTCACATGATGCAGAAGAGGGAGAGCATAGCACACTTCCCAGCTCAGTCCTCCTCTCATACCCAGTCCAAGCAACTTTTGAACTCAGGCAGCTGTAACCTGCTTGACTCTGACCAAGCTCCAAAGCACTGTTTCTACCACATACCATACAAGCTCCTGGAGCTAGCGAAATAAAAAAAATAAAACAAAAAACCCACAGTATTTTTCATAATTAGCTGTTTTAAGGGCAGATAAGGAACCTTGACTCCAGGTGGGCACTGGCAAGAAGAGCTGTACTTGCAAGCAGACAGGAGAAGCCCCGGCCCAAACTCCTTAAATGTTTACCTGGGGTTATCAGAAAGGCGAAGGTAACAGCGGACAACGTGTTTGAGCAGCCGTGCTGACGGCTCCTTGGAGAGCTGCAGGACCATTTTACCCTGTGTGACAAAGGCCAGTGCCAGCAGTTAGTGTTTGAGCAGTTTCACGATTAGCAAAGACTGGGAAAGACCATTAAATCACCCTGGCCTCCCACCCAACAGAGCCCACTACCTTTCAGCTGGACAGCCCCACATGGAGCCCAGCTCCTTGCCTGACAGCGTGCATCTTTTTCTCACAGTGCGTAGGACTTTGCACATGGCTGCAGCCTTGAACACACCCAGCCTAGTGAACACTACAGATGTCTTCACACACCTGCCCTGAGTCATGATTAGGAGTCAAATCAGATTTGCCCAGCAAGTTTTTTCCCCACGAAACCACACCGACTAGCACTAACCATTTTCCCCATTAGCTAAATTCACCTGTGTTTGGATTTTTAGTCAGTTAGCAATTAGTGGGGGCTGCCTCATTTGCCCTTTTGGAAGCTTCCTGTTCTTAGCTATCCCCTGGATACCAAGATTTCTTCAAAATAAGGTCAGAGAGCTCCTCTGACAGCTCCTGAACAGGAATTATTAACTTGCCCTCCTAAAAGCTTCTAATACGTGCAGAGCATCTTGCACATTTATCAGCAGACTAGGAAGCAACCCAGTACCCTCAGGAGACAGGAGTACATTATCCCTATTTTTGAAATATAGAACAAATGTCTTATGAACATTTTTATCTTTATCATGTCAGTGTTTCAATCTGTTGTGGGAATACACCACAAACAGCATTTCTTCCATGCTAACATACCTTCACATCCACGTCCGTCTGTGTTCATACCCTTCCCAGCCATAGATTCTTCCTTGGTCTCCTTCTCCCCCCCCTACTTCAGGGCTTCTGTTTCTAATTGCTTGCCTCTGAGCTGGATGTACTTTCAGCCAAAGCTGATCCCATCCACAACTGCAGAAGTCGTATCACATGGGATATTTTGGACAGCTCAGAAGCATTCATATTTCGCTGTTCACGTGCGAGTTAGGAGTTAGTTTGGGAAAACAGATGTACTAATAAATATTCCCAATGAAAGCATCAAAATTTAGGCACAGAACCAGGACTACAAAGTGCTTAACTTAATGCTGCATTTTCATCTCTTGAGATTGGCTCTGTACAAAGCAAACACTCACAAAAGTGGGGTAATGGCTGTTCCAGAGCAGACACATATTTCTCTTTTAGCAAGCTGAAGGAAATAATCCACTAGGGCTATTACTCTTGGGATGAACAAAATAAGGATACCTACAGCTCTCCTTCACAGGGGACAAAAAGGAATGAACAAACTGTCTGCTCTCTGTGCATTCTAACACAAGATCTAAAATCATATGAAAAAATTAGTAGGAACCGGGTTCAAAACAAACTGGGGTTGGCCTTCCAGGCAGCAAACAGGAAACCTGTGCAAATCCTTGGTAAAAGACACTGTATATGCAGTTCAAGAGGGGGACTGGACAAATACTTGGGGTTACTGCATAGAAAATCCACAGCTGGTCCTGGAAATCCAAAACCAAAAAATAGCTGGCAGCTGGAAGGCTGTTAGAAGGGCAAGTATCATACATGCTTGCTCTGCTCTTACTCCTTTGTTCAGCCTCTTATATTCCTCTAACCTGCTGTGGGAGACAAACAGGGAAAGCAAATCCACAAGTGGGGTGTCACCACCTTTACATAAAATTAGACCAATTCACCCCCTTCTTATTCTCTGGAGATGTTTACCTGATTTACCTTGAGAACTTCATATATTACAACTAATATCTGTTCTCTTAACAGGCAAACCAGAACTATAAACAAAACAAGCAGGAGCAGAGAGCTACAGAGCTACAAGCAATTAGCCGAAGAACTGCTTGTCCATCTCACCCTGTGCTCCAGCCAGAGAGCAGTACAATAGCTGCCGAAGAAGTTAACTGCTAGGGCATATATGTAACTATTTGTTTTGCTAAAGCAGAAGAAACAATCTTACCAGTATCATGGCAACATGGGAAAACCGCTCATATGTTTGACAGATGTATGCCAGCCCTGTGTCATCCAGAAGGATTTTCTGAAGAATAAATGTAGCAACCTAGAATAGGAAGAAAGCAGAAAAGAGAACATGTAAAACAACTCATCTATCCCCAGAAAGAACAGTCTTTCTGCTGTGTTCTTTTCATGCAGTCCCAGAGCTGAAAGGCCTTTCAGAAAATGCCGTACTTGATTTTAAAAGTTTAAAACCAAAATGAAATACAGGTTACTGCACAATGGTTGGCATCTTTGGCTAAGGAAGAACGATAGATACAAAGCACTGCATACCAGATGACTGGATGAAGGCTGCATGAAGTAGCAATTATCATGAGGCTGCTCAGGACAGCCTCAAATTATGGCCACACTGCTCTGGTCACACAGAAAAGCAGCTAGCCCTTGGCCCGGCTGTGTACACAGCAAGCTGGTTTCAGTTTTCATCTCAAGTATTACTGATTCATGACCAGACATGTGACTTCCTGGAAGAGCCCTGGTCAGGTATGTCACCAGGCTTCACTAGAGAAGGACACAGACTGAAACCTGTGGCCGGCCTACCTGGGTCATCCAACCACAGATCTGAACTCGTGGTGGAAAGCAGCGCTGATCAAATCGGGTCACCAACTGGTCCAGTGTGATGAACATCTCTATAATCATCACCACCAGCTGTTGCTCAACCTGAGCACTGAGTAGTTACAGCATTTGTTCTCTCAGACAAAAGGAAAATTAATCCAGCTCAGGACTGAAGGTTACTCTGCTGAACTACAAAGCAGACCAGGAGCTGAAAGCAGACATGATCTCTCCTAGCAAAGCTGCCATGCTCAAGGAACACTCAGCTCAGTTTGTATTTTGAGGAGGTAAAACACCACCAAGAGCTGCCTCACCGTTTGCAACAGGATATCAGCCAACTCTGCAGGTTACAGAGTGCCTGGTCAGTTGGATATAAACAACAGAAACTCTTAAGAAAAACAACAGGTACCGTCTTGGAGAGTTCACTGCCAGACTCCATAATGCGTAAGCACAGGGGGATAATTTCTGTTGTTAATAAGAAGTTTATCACTTCTTGCTCATCAGTTTTCACCAAGGCTCCTTGAAAGAAAAAAACAAAAAGCGAATTTAATAAGTGATAAATTGTTTAAAAAAAAAAAAACAACAACAAAAACCCCTTGCTTATCAAAGATGGTCTGTACTGTGTCCTGCCAGGAATCATTAGATATGAATGATTGACAGAGCAACTCCCATCCTAAATATGCTGCAGCATGTGGAGAAGATATCATTTTGGCAGCATAAAAGTAATCGAGCTGGCTTTGGAGGCTGGTTGTTTTTCAGAAAGGGGATACATTCTTGGCTCTCCCCCTGGTGGTAACACAACCTCCAAGTAACTCAGCCACTCAACAGAAGCCTCTCAGAAGAAGAAACCTATTTCAAGACACTCTGTGTGTGCATTGAGAGAAACACACTCTGGGCAGAAAAGAGGAAAAAAAGTGGATGATGGGGCAAATATACCCAAGACAACAAGAAAAAGCCAAAGAAAGCTCAATGTGCACCCTCCCATCCCAGTCTCTAGTTAGCTGTGCTAAGGATGAAGGCACTTCAAAATTGCAGATACTTGTTCTAACAGCAAGGAAATTTTTGGCAACAGACCTAGACTTCAAGGTTTTCTTATCAATGGAAAAATTTCACTTCCTATCCCAGATCTGACTTAAGTTGTGCAGGTTTCTATACCCACAGCTTTAACAGCCAGTTCGCTAGGAAACCAGTGCTCTGCTTTAGTCTTCCTGCTTACCAATCACTCCAAGGCTTGTGAGCCGCAGGTACTCAAATGGACGTGTCTTGCTAACTGTGTGCAAGAAGGGGTACAGGAAGAGAGGGATGTGAGCTGCCAAAAATGCTGACCTGTAGGACAGAGAACACCCACAAGAGACAAGGAAAACAAAGTGAGCACACAAACCAGAACTATCATGCACAGCTTCAGACTACTCCTGACAGACAACATTGCTGCTGCTGCTCCTCAAAATTGGGTAGCAGTTCATTCTCTGATGGTAAAGTATGAAATTAATTCTGCACGGGGCCATGTTTGTGCATTAACTACTGATTTGGGCTGAACTAACACCATCTTTTTCCTTGCTGACATGTGCAAGACAGACTGAGAAAACTTGGAAGTCAGGCAGTGGCTGCAGGTTGCAGGTGTGGCTTTGCTTTTGCTCCTTTTGCCACAGTCTCTTGGAAAGGCAGTCCAGCTCATTCCATTCTTTGGGCAGCTGGTCTAAATAACTGTAGGCTCATTAAAACAAGGATCCTGCATGTAACACTCAGCACAAAGGCAGCCTTGTCTCTGGGTGAGCTTCTAGAATCTGTCACAACCCAATATTTTGGGAATTTGCAGGATGATTCAAGGGATGATTAAAGGAATGCAAAGCATTCAGGACCACAATAAAACTGTCATCCTGGTAACTCAGGCAAACAAGTGAAAGCAGCAGTCAGTTGCCTATTTTTCAGCTCTGCCTATTTTTCCACTTCTCTTGGTAAAAGAGCAGAAAGGAATTTACATGCTTCCAGAATCAAACAGAATGGCAGAACTGTCAACATCAATAGTCCAGAAAACTTTCATACTTGGAAACACTCACCTTGTTTCAGGATGAGATGCAACACACTGTAACAGAGCTAAAGCATTGCAGACTCTGTTGGACTGATGGGCAGTCAAGGTTGGAGGATTGATTGATGGATAAATATTTACAATTTCCTAAAAAAGTAATAAGTGAAGAAAAGTTAAAGGAGGAAAAAAAAAAAAAAAAAAACAGCAAGCTGCACAAGAGCATTTGCCCAGCAAGAAACTATGGTGCCATGAGATTTTAGTCTGCTTTCACTAAGCACCACTCTCAAGTTACATGGCTGACACCATGCTGCAAAGCAAATGGCAGAGTTATGCCAGAATGAGTTCAACAAGGAGTCACACAGATACAGACAAACTTTAATTTTAGCTCCCCCCTCAAAAAAGGGCTCATTTGGTTTCCTGGCACTTTGTGGATGTGGGGATTACTTTGTTTTGAACTTCCAGAGCAAGGAGGAATGCTGTTCCCGTGCCTAAAGGCAGAGCACACCCATTTCCTTCGTACCATTGCTGCTAGTACTCTTCTAACTCAACAAAGGGGAAGCAGCTGAAAGTGAGAAATCCAATTCAGAAAGCCATCTGCTTCCAGCTATGGCTCCCTTATGATTTTCTTCACTTGTTTCAGGGCCACCCTGTTTTCACAGTCTAGCATCACCTATCCTGCACAATTTTCTTTCTTTCCCCAAATGAAATGACTAGATTCAGCAGAGATGGGCAGACATCAGCTGTAGTTTACCCGGAGGTCAGCTGAGCCACTCTGATCAAAAATGCAGGTAGTTTTCTTTGCAAGGTACTCTGGAGTACCACTTCCATGCTGCCCCGATGAGGGCTTTCTGTAATGGCAACCTTTTGACCAAGTAGAATCATAGAATCACTCGGGTTGGAAAAGACCTTAAAGATCAAATCCAACCATGACCTAACCATACTACCCTAACTAACAACCCTCCGCTAAACCATGTCTCTGAGCAGGTAGTACTCAAACTCATGGGAAAATAAAGAAAAAAACTCCACAACACAAAACAGAGATCTTAGGAGTAAAACTACTGTAGTTCTGAACGTTGTCTATAGGAAGTTCATACACAGAAGAACTTGCCTGCTCCTCTTTAAGCTGTATAAGCTATCTCATCAACAATCTTAGGGCCTACTCTCTAAGAACATCACCTTGCAAGTGATGATTAATGGGAAACACTAGAAATGCCCTCCACGTGTGGTTCCCTTCACCACATGATCCAGCAGACATCATACACACAGAAATGGCACGAAGGGATGCTATCATTGCCTCCCCAGATTCACCCCATGGACACACAGATCTCTGCAATGTAGCAGTGCTGTGCCACAGAACAAAATTGAGCTCTGCCCTACCCACCTGAAGGAGTGCCGCAATCGTGCCAAAAGAGTGCCACAGCATGGGGGCAAGGTCAGGCACAGACTCGCGCTTCTTGCTCAGCTCCAGCAGTGCATTCTCCCTCGTCTCAGGGCTGGACAGCTCGTTGATCCACTGGTAGATCTTCTCGCGGTCCACCTGAGCCAGCGCTGTAGGCACAGGCTGGGAAGGAGACAAGAAATCTTCAGTCACAGCTACTTCAGCCAAGTGCCATCCAAATGCTTTTCACAGCCTCAAAGGCAAAGCAAAAAAAGGGCTCGAGGAAGTGGCTGGGGGAGGGAGGGACTAAAGCTGCATTAAGAAGCTGTGGATATGGACGATCCCTTAGATTAAGCTTACTACTTCACCTATCTGAAACACAGATGTTTCACTTTCTGGCCTGACTTATTAGGGCAGTCTCCTTTAATTTGCCCGCCAACCATTTCCTTACAACTTCATTTGGTGACAAAAGAGCTGTGCTGCTGCCCATCTGTGTCAGCAGAGCTCCTGGGGAGGCCACACATACTTTAGCCACCTATCACCCATTCTGCCTGCATTGACTTCATGCTTCAGATGCAAGATCCCACAAATCCCAACCAAGTAATGCAGATGCTGCCTTTTTCTCTCCAAAAACATCCAGGATACTCAATGAATCCCATTGACAGGCTTCAATGAACATGAGAAAAATGTTCATACAAATAACAGAAAAATTCTCACTACACCAACGTCAACACAACACTGTGGGGCAGACAAAAAACACAGCCAGTAATTTAACACTGGTGTTACAGACTCCTCCAATTCATCCCAGGTATCTCCTTTAGCTGCATGGAGTTAAAAGGAAATGTTTCAAGACTCTTTTTGTGCAGAAGTTCCTATTCAAAAACAAACAACCCTGAGAAGGGCAGATGTGCATTCGTGGTTAAGACACTTTCTACTGCTTGGGAGAAACGCACAATTTCTCTTCTGCCTTTCTAGGAACATGAGGGGAAGAACAACATCAAGGCCAACAAGTTTTCTGGGCAAAAAACAAAATTAGGGAGGGCTGAGAAGAAAGGGATAGCAAGCAAGTGGCACTGTAACAGTTTCTATGGAAATGGCAAGGAACAAACTTTGCAATGAAAGCCTGTCTCACGCCACTGCTGGCACATCAAGCACTCAGGTTGCAAGCAGGCCTCCTACACAGACAGTGTGGTGATTCAGACCAACAATTTGGAGGCAAACTTATGCATTAAAGTGAGTGCTTCATGTCCTGCACTGCCAGCAGTGCTGCTAGCAGCAGCTCCTTACTGAACACAAAAGAGTTCAGGAACTGACAGCAACTGGATCCAAAATGAAGTTCCCAGAGCTGCATTGCTCTGGAGGGAGACCCTGTCTTTGGGACACACCCCCAGAGCCTTCCCTCTCTATTGCTACAGCAGTTTCCTTGCTCAGCTATCCGCATTATATTCATAATCATTATATATACACAAATTACATTCATAATCACGTCCTAAAAAACCCTGTGGGATTTACAGTGGATTGAAGTTGTAATTTGTAATCTCTTTCTCTATGTAAGTTAGGCTACAATATAATCTGATGTGCTGTTACCAATCCCTACGTCTCAAGCCTCTAATACCTTGTATCTGCTCACCTTCCCTCCTATCCCCTTTTTCTCTTCTTGTCTACCCTATCTTATTTCATTTTTTCCCCCAGAACCTCATACTGAAACAATAAACCTAACAATTTTCTGTACAAGGAACACAGTTCCAATGTGATACCAGAGCTGGGAGAGAGAAGGTGAACAGACTGAGCTCATTTTTTTTCATTTGGGATGGCAGAGTGACAAGCAGTGCAGCAGTAATGTTGTTATAATTGTGTTATCTAAAGCTTCCATCTATTTTTCACTCGTTCTAAGTTTCAGTTCCTGTAAGCTTAAATACATCGACCCTTTAAAAGCACAATCATGCGTCTATGATCACTAGAGAGCACTAAGCAGATTTTCCAGACAATTAAGTTTATGATGCCCACTATCAGTCTTAGTGAGAACTAGTTACTGGTCACAGGCTCTACAGTTGCTCAGTAAACATTCTAGCTGAAATCGAAAGCCGCATTTCCTCCTCATTTTCTATTTTGTTGTTGCTTCCCCTCTTCCCAGACCTAAAACTGTGGGGAACCCCAAGGGCTACACACAACTTCTGCACACTCTGAGGCAGCACCCTACCAAGCAGGCCTTCCTCTGCACAAAGAGAAAGCAGGAGCTCCCAGCAGCGTCTCACACCACAGGACTGTGCCACCTCCACACCACTGACAAGAACAGGTGCTACCTCAGACATCCCTGCTGATCACATCCCCTGCAACAGCCGAACAACCTGGAGAAAGGCAACTGGCTTTCTCCCCCAGTGAGCAGCAGCTGCTAGGCATGCTGAAGAAACAGCCAACCACCAATGCAGAATGCTGCCCAATTAGATACACATGCTTTTAAAGAAATTTTAGTTGATCAGCAACTCAGAGAACACCAACACGAACTTTGAACTTAACTATCAGTGAATTCACTAGTTCAATCTGGATTTCCCGTGCCTTACTGCTACCTACAGCTACAGTAAAACTGTATTTTTTTTCTTAGTTTATTCTCCAGTCTTCAGCATCTAACGCTGCCTTCAGACCTAAAGGCAAAGTGCCAGCTCTGCCACCAGCACTGCAGGGAGAACAGAGATGCTCCTGCTTACAACAGCTTCATCACGAGGTGCTCACAAAGCCTCCAGGAGCTCCTCAGCCCACTCACCGTCCCACTCAGAGCAGCATTATTTACCTTTGTTAACACAACTCCCAAGGACTTCTGCAGACACGAATGCCCCTCCTTCTCTCATTCAGCCTACAGCGCACCGATCGTAGTAAGAAACGTTTCAATACAGATCCACCAGGCAGCACGGATTGTGACAAATTAAATACACACTCAGACGAGCCCCAAAGTAAAGCTGACTTCTAATCCTGACTTCGATTACATCGTTAAAACTGCCTTCAAAGAAAAATCCTCTTACAGAAGGATGGGTGGCACTCAGATTAACAGCAACCGTAACAGCACCTCGTGCATTTTGTCGGCTGTTCTGGAATTAGAGAGCCTTCGGGTCGGAAGGAACCTTTAAAGGCCACCCACAGCTCCATCAGCGCTCAGCCCTCTCCAGCCTGACCCGCAGCGCCCGCAGGGATGGGGCACCCACAGCCCACGCCATCGCCCCGCCACAGTACACCACTCTCAAGAAGTAAATGCTGATTAAAAGCAGCACGAGCTCGCGTTCCCGCCCGCGCTTCAGAAAGCAGCGCTTCAAACCCCATCAAAAGCATTCGCGGGGAGGAAGGCTCAGGAGCCCGCTCAGCTCCCGCTGCGGCCATTCGCGCTCCTTACGCCGGGCGGCATCGCGGCCACCCGCCGCCCGCAGCGACCCGCTCGCCCCGCGCCTCTGCCAAGCGCCCCGCCCGCAACGAGCGCCGCTCGGGGAGCCGAAAGGCCAAAGGGCGCCCGCCGCCCACCCAGCCCGCGCCCCAACCCCGCCCCAGCAGCGCCGGTTCCCCGAGGGACGCTCGGGCCTGCCGGCCTGCCAGCCTGCCTGTCTGCCTGCCTGCCTCCCCCCGGCCCGCGCCCGCCCGCCGTCTCCTGAGAACGAAACGAGGAGCTCGACCACCGAGCGGGCCCCCGAACCCCCGGTGCTGCCGGCTCACCGCGGCCGTGGCCAGGCTGTGCATGATGCCGGTGCCGCCGGGCCGCGCTCAGGAGCCCGCCGCCATAGAGGCAGCGCCGCGCGGGGCGCCGGGAAGGGGACGCGGCCTCGGGGAGGGCGAGGTGCGCATGCGCGCAGCCGGCGGCGGGGAGCGGGCCGTTCTCTTAACGGCGCCTGCGCGGCGGCGGGAGGAAAAGGGGCGAGAGCGCCGCCGTGGAGCGTGTGCGCGTGCGGGGCGTGCCGGGAAAGGCGCAGCGGCGCTGACGTCAGCGGGGCGCGCGCGCCTGCGTGCCGTGCGTCGCGCGGGGAGCCGGTTCCCGCCATCCGCCGCCGCGCCCCTCCGCGGGCCGCAGGTACCGGGAGCCGCCACCCTTCCTTCGGAGCGGGGCCTCTCCCGGCGGGCGGGGACGCGCGGTGGCGGCCGCAGCTTCCGGAGGGGCCGCCTCGCCCCGCAGAACCGCCTCGGGCCGCACTCCTTCCCCCCCCCTCCCCAGACGCGGCGCCCGGCCCCGCTCGCTTCCAGCGCGTCTCCGGGGAAGGCCGCGGCCCCGTTGGAGGTGGGTGCCCGCCCCGCTGCACGCCGTCTCTTTCCCGCAGGTTCCGAGGCGGTGCCGGCTGCGGTGAGGCCCCGCCATGGCCCCGCTGAAAGTGCACGGCCCCGTGCGGATGCGCAGCATGCAGACCGGCATCACCAAGTGGAAGGAGGGCAGCTTCGAGATCGTGGAGAAGGACAACAAAGTCAGCCTGGTGGTCCACTACAACGTGGGGGGCATCCCCAAGACCTTCCAGGTGGGTGCAGCTGGGCCGTGCCCTTCCCGACTGTCGGGTGTCGCCACTCTTCTGCCTCCTCCCTGAGCGCCATCCCCCGGTTGTAGCCCTGCCTCGAGTTATTCAGGTGTGGAGTTACGGCACCCGCTGGATGGGAAGGGCCGAGCAGCAGGTGTAGAGCTGTGTGACTCACGTCTTGTTTTTTTGGAGTACCTTTTTGTTAGGATAGGTGTGCAGCCTGGAGGTGATGTTGAGATCTTTCCTTGCTTTTTAAAAGAATCCGTATCATTTAGCAACTTTCAGATCAGTTTGGTTTGTAGCAGTGCTGCCTCTGTGTTCTTACATCACAGCTGTTTTCTGACTGTGGTGTATCACAAACTCTGATCCGTTTGTTTCTGCCTGCAAACTTAATGAAAAAGAGAACGCATTGCATTTGGAATACCAGGTTTTGCTCCCTTAGCAAGCTGAGAAGTCTCAGCAAAGAACCTGAAAGCCTGTGTATTGTATTGGAATTGGGGTGTAAGAGAGGCGTGTGTTTTGATTACTTCATACCACTGTGCCTGTGGACTTGATAATGTCAAGACCTGCCCACCTTGCCACACGCAGTGCTGTGACTGTGCTTTTGGTGGAATCCCAGTGTTTGACCACGGTGCTGCAGTCCCTTATTCCCCTTGTGCTTTCCCAAAGCTCTTGTGTGTGCTCTGTTCTGCCAGGATGAGTTTTTCTGTGGCACTGTAGTGCCTGGAGCTGTGGCCCTGTGGGAGGGTGAGCCTGCCCAGCAGCTGTCTATGCCTGCAGGGACAGGCTTTACTCCTGTCTCTTCTCTGGCTCTGGCACTCTTCGGATCTGCGGGAGCTTTGAGAAGGGTTTTCACTTGGAGGGGGCCAAACAGCAAGTCTGATGGACAGGAAAGTGTGGTGCTCTGCATCTAGGGGCACAGCAAAGAAGGGAAACAAGCAGCCCAAGCTTTAGAGCAACTAGTTTCATTAGGCCAACAGTTATTTTCCAGCTGGAGTTGCTCTCTGGTCTGCTCATGGTGAGGTAGCACAGGTGCTGGCAGCAGGGGGAGTGCGCTGCCCCTTGTGCACCTGTGCCAGCTGGTCCCAGTCTCAATGCCCTCATTACAGGTGTGCCAAATACTGGGTAATTCTGCTTTACAAGTACAATTCTCTTGTTTGCTTGCTTTTTTCCCCGGCAAGTTGTTCTGAGAAGTTGTGGGCAGTTTCCCCACTTCTTTGCTTTGCTGTAACGGAACATTCAGGTGGATCCTGGGTTATATTTCTGTTGCTGTTATTTGATGTTTTGATGAGTTTGCTAGATACGAAATACAGATTATGTGAAACGTCACTTATTTTCACCTCCCGAGGTGCTAACACGAACTCTTTGGTAAGAGGTACACAGAGACTGTGCTTGGAGTCCTCTCATGTGAGCATTTTGAATTGAAATACATTGTGTTGCACTGAGATGCCAGAATATCTGTAATCTATGTGTGTTGACCTCTGTTTTAAGAGAGAATGAAAAACTTGGAGCCTGTTTTCCAATATGTAGGGGAGAAAGAAATCTCATGAATGAGCACTTTGTAAAGGAATCAATTTTTGTTCTAAGCTTGAGTACAGTTTGAAGGGGACAAAACAATTGTATAGTGAAACTGAGGTTGCCTTATGATTGCTGTTCATGCCTGTTAATTGGATTTCATTATTTGGATCAGCTGTGTGGTAATACACAGGTGGTGCAGCTTTAGGAGGAGGCTCCAATCTGATGGGCAGCCTCTTGCTCTGCAGTGCCCAATAGCCTTGGATATGGTTTCAGCTTGCAATGTAGTGATGTCCTGGCAAGAATGTCATTGTGTAGCAGTGCCTGGTTCTTAGGAAAGGCTGCAGAAGTGGCAGAAAAATGAATAATTAAGTGCAAAAGGATGCAGAAATTGAAAATGACTTGTGTATTGACATCTGCATGGTTGCTTTTCCACAAAACGTACACCTCCTTGTGAGTGACTTAGCAGGAAGCAGCAGTTCATGCTGTAATGTAGTGGCACAGCAGAATTATTGGAGAGAAGGAGCTCTTAAAATTACTCTCATGCATGACCATAACCTCAAAACTTTTGACACTCTATAATTGTTGCCGTGTTCTACAGAGACTAAGCGTATTTCTTTCTTACTTACTACCCAGTGAAGTTTTTTAAGCTTTGTCAAGTCTGTTTTCCTCTGAGAGAATTATAGGGTGAGCATAAGTTTGCGCACAATATTTAAAACTCAAAACTTTTAAACTTTTCCCATCTTGAAATAATATTTTGAAGCGGATGGAGGAGTTTCAGACAGCTGAAAGGGACTGTAGGATGTCTTCATTCCTTTGGTTTAGAACTATCGCCCTCAACAGCAGAGCAAGTTTCAGAAAGCTTAACCAGGAATGCAGGGATTGATGAGCCATAGCAGTGCTGTCCTTTGGGTTGTGTCAGCTCCCAGATGACTGATAGCATTAATTCTGTGAGGCTTAATGTTTGCTGAGAGTAGAGCAGTGGGATGTATTTCTGTGTAAGTGCCTCTTACCCTCTCTCTCGGTTTGAAGTGTTTTGTTTGAATTTGTGTTTTGGCCTTTCTAAAGCACGTTGATGATGATAGTCATTTCTTTGCTTTCAGCTAAGCCATAACATTAAGTCTGTGACCTTACGACCCAATGGCAGAAAGCTGTGCTGCCTGATGCTGACACTGAAGGATACCAGCTTCCTGACCATTGATAAGGTACCGCTTAAAGACGCGAATGAGATGCGGATGTATTTGGATGCGGTCCATCAAGACAGGGTTCATACTGGTAAGTGCCATAGTAGTAATTCACATCACTGACAGCATAGAGAAGATGCAAGACTGTGGTGTGGGTTGTTTTTTTTCCCACCTTCAGCCACCTTTCCTCCTTACGTTACTTTCTGTGCATGTTATATTTGTGCAAATCTTTCTGGCTCTGACCCCCAGTTTTTGTTGTGTACCTTTCTCATAATGTGCCTTTGTCATGCTGAACAGTAAGCAGAGACGAAACAATCAGGAATTGTTTCTGTTGTATGCACATCAGTATTTGAAAAACTCATGTCTTTATCACACCTGCATAGTCTCTTTCCTTTTGATTTTTCCACTTATTTTGGTTGTTTTAAGGATAGGAACTTTTCTTCACACTGAGTAAATGGCCAATATAAGGGCAATCCATAAACATGTGCTTATGTCTATGCACTCAGAATGTTGTACTGTCTGTTGGCAAGAAATTTGGTGTGTCTCTTCCAAAACCAACTTCAGAATAGCATCTTACACATACAAATGCTGGTCAGTGAAATGAGCATCAAATCAAACGTTGTGTACTTTTCCTGTCAGCTGGGAAACCCTCTCAGGGATCTGGCAGCTTTGGAGGTGTGCTGGGCAGCAGGACCACACAGAAGGAAGCTAATAGGCAATTCTCTTATATAGAGAATCAGGTTTGTTCAACTGTTCACGTTTTTCCTCTTCTCTAATTTTATTTCATTCATTTCCCCCTCTCATTCTCTTATTGCATGTTGTAATAACACCATAAATATTTATTTTGCAC